TTTCTACCCATGATGGCTACATGGTTTATGGAGACTTGAGTTAATATGAACTCGCATCCTCATATCGGTGCTCAATACTACTCCCAAAATATATTTAGCTGATATGTTTTTAAAACAAACTTCTTTCTTTGGTTTGAGATAATTACTCAAAACTTAGCTTAAAAGTTCTCTTGGAATCAATGTTCCCTTTCTTTCTCAATGTGAAAATATTTTAAACTCTTGGGAATACTTAGTTCCCTTATAGCTTTTTGAGAAATGAACTCAACTCTTTACTCTTTGCTTAACTTGAAACTTAAGTCTTAGAACAAAGTTAAAACGTTTGTGAAAGACTTTTGAAAAATTTAAATGAACCTCTCTTGACTTGCTTCTATACTTCTAAACTTGACTCTTAACATTCCTTGAAATGAATTATGGATTCAAGGATCGTGATTTGTGATAGGAAAGATCTCATGATGTTTAGGAGTGTTTTTAGATAGCTAAACATAAGAAAAAATCAAAATTTCATTGTCTGAAGGTAGGTCCGCGAAGCGGAGATGTATTTAAATTTTGGTCGCGAAAATACTTTTTGAGGCAGAACGGTCTGTGACCGCTCCGCGATGCGAAGGCATTTTTCCCAAATCTGGGGAACAGGTCTGCGACGCGGAGCCAGTGCCCGGATTTGCCCAACTAAGTTTCTTCTTCATTTTTCAGCCCCAATTCGCCCAAACTCGGTACTTTTTCCCAAATTCCATTTAGATACAGATACCCAGCAAATGTACCTAAGAACATAACTCAAACCCACTCAATAACTTGACGTAATGATCTTAGGCACTTCTCAATTTTAGCCCAACTCAAGAACAATATCAATTTCAAGAATACATATCAAGAACATCAACTTTCAAACTCTTTTAGGATGAATTCACGCTGAAATAACATGTTTGGCGTGTGGGTGAACGAACCCAATGCTATGAAAGACTTACATACCTTGTAGAGGTTAACCTTTGGTGAAATCCACACGATAATCTCCATGAATTTGACGAACTATGAACTTTTCTTCTCCTTTCTCCTCTTTTTCTCTTTTCTCCAAGCCCTAGAGTATTTTGGTAAAAGCGTAACTGATCTAATCCTGATTAGACCCTAACTTAATTACCAAAAATGAAATAAAACAATTGGGCAAGGAAAAGACCAATCTACCCTTTAAAAAATCCGGATTGAACTTTCCTTATTTAAACAGCCCAACTTCCAAAGGGCATAACTCACTCATACGAACTCAGAATTGCACAAACTCAGTGGCATTGGAAAGGTTATTCCAAGAGTTTTCCAACCATATTAGGAAATACACCTAACTCATCCTGATATAGGATTTATGGCCGTTTGAAGTTGACCTAAACTCAACTTATTCTAACTTAACAAAATTTCCAGATTTTCATTCTTTCAAAAACTGATTATTTCCAATTATAAGTTTCTTCCTAGTTATTTCAAATTGCAAGATGTTACAGAATGCATGTGTATTGGTATTTGTATCACTAAATAAATATGTATAGTTGACACTTATAAGTTGTATTTGTATAATTGATTGTTATCATCTTTGTTTGTATAAGCGACTGTTAACATTTGTATTAATATATTTTTTGGTTTTATAAGTGAGAGAAATTGGATATAAAGGAGTGAGAGAGAGATTGGGCAGATAGTTTGTATTTGTATAATTTATTGTTATCATTTGTGTTTGTATAAACAACTGCTAACATTTATACTTGTAACATTTGTATTTGTATAAGGGCATGGGCAAAGCCATCTTAGGAGAATGGTGATCTAGTGCACACCCTTTGTAGAAAATAATGTGGTTTACAGAAGTTAATTATATAGCTATTATGAGTGTATATTTAATTTTGCACACTCTTAACACAACTAAGAAGAAAATTGGCACACCCTTCGCCAAATTCTTGGCTCTGCCACTATATAAGTGTGAGAAACTGGACATAAAGAAGTGAGAGAGAGAGACAGGGCAGGGTGAGGAGAGAGGCGAGGGAGAGATAATAAAAGGCGACGAGATTCCATAGAGAGGAGAGAGAGAGAAAGAGGGAAATGTAAATACGGTTAAAGGTTAGTCACGAATGATAATTAATACAAATTGTAGCTATGTTAAGTAATTAATGTTAAGAAGTCCCACATCGGTATAGGGATGAGAATGTGGTATCCTTATATGGACTTTGACAAACCTCCATCATGAGCTAGCTTTTGGAGTTGAGTTAGGCACAAGTGTCATATCTTCACATGGTATTAGAGCAGGCCCCATCCCAATTTGTTGTTCACCGATGTTGGGCCCCTATTTAAAAGTGTTCACACTCAAGTTGAGGTCTGGACATGCGGGGGAGTGTTAAGAAGTCCCACATCGATAGAGGGATGGGAATTTGGTCTCCTTATGGACTTGGACAAACCTCCCTCATGAGATAGCTTTTGGAGTTGAGTTAGGCTCAGGTGTCTTATCTTCACAATTAATTAATATATGTTTGCATATCCGTATTATTTCTCCTTAAATAAATTTAAAGCATCATCTATTTTGTTTATAACCATGTGTTTTGTTGCTGGAGTGTGGAGGGTAGCTTAGTCATTCAACAATCGATACTTGATTTGAATTGCCTTTTGGAATGAAAACAAATCCAATTCTAACCTCATATATAAATACCCTCTCTCTCTCTCTCTCCAATTTCCCTTTTTTCATCCCCCCCCCTTTCTATATGTCTGTTTATTTTACTTTGCCAGGTGATTCACAAACAATGGTGT